GTTCTCCTTGTTTTTGTTGTAGCAGTAGTGGTTGTTGTTGTTGTTGTTGTAGCTGCTGCATTTGGCTGCCAAAAATTTCATGCACGAAAAACTTATTTTTGGTGCCGACGTTTCCAAAATGCAGTCAGAATGGGGAATGGGGGAATCGCTGGCGGCAGCAGGCTGTAGCGTGTGGGCTTAAGAGGGGATTGACGTATGCAGGGAGGGAAGGGAGGGAAGGGAGGGTGGTGGTTATTGGGTACAGCCAGTGGGGCTTGTGGACAGTGCGATGTGCTGCACAGCTGCAGATACATCCAAAAAGTGTACAACAGCTGCTGGCTCTTTGGGCCAGAGGCAGAGGCAGCGGCAGATGCAATGGGAAGAGGCGACGAACACGTTGAAATTCGTTTTTTATTTAATTTTCTTTTACATATAACTGTATATATCTATATATATTATATGCATATATGCGAGATATATGCGTTGAAATTAAATTAGAGTGTACCAATGTTGTTTTTAATACAAAGAAACACAATATAAAAACTTAAGCGCAAAATTGTATTTGTTTATTCGCAATTTCAACAATAAAATTCTTTAATCAATATTATATTTATTTAGTTTTTTTTGCCGCCTCCAGCTGTATAAAATTTATTTGGCTAGCTTCGGTTATTTTTTCATGCTTTTAGCTCATTTGCTTTTGCCTCGTTGAGAGGCGAAAATGTGTGATATTTTTAGAAAAAGTCGAGCACATGTTTCAAAATATCAAAAAGCGAGCAACAAAATTGAGGAAGATGAAAAAAATGAGCAATATAAAAATAAAAATCAAGAAGCAACAGCCACAGCCACACAAATTTGAATAGAAAACGAAATGTTTATGTGCCCCAAAGACAGAGACCAGACAATGCCGCGCATTGAAATTAACCGAATGCAATTCCAAAGTATATTCGGGTTTCCAGTAGGAAAGAAAAGAATATTTCAAAACAAAATAAAAACCAGACTGTGAGCATATCTTTGGCACGCCGAATACTCAATACTCTCGCTTCCGTTTTGCAGCTACGTCAGAAGAGTGAAAACTCGTTTGGTCTAGATATCTTGAGAAACAAAACGGTTTTCATACTAGGTCCTACTTTTCGACCGATCTTTCCTATGGCAGCCATATGATATAGTGCGATAAGCATAAGATTTGGCGTATATATAAGGATGAGAAAAGTAGTTTTACTTTCTTTTCTTTTTCCAATTTCAATATCTACATATGTATATACAAATACAGTACAAAGTTGACATATTCTGATAGCGAAATGTTGTTAGTCAAAGCAAAGACTTCAATTTGATTGGGAAATATTAGAAAAGAACGGAGCATAATTAGTATTGGAATCGGCGTACAACTAACTCCACTTCTGCAATATCTTTTTTGCCATAAAACTTTCGATCTACTCAAACTGAGTTAAAATGGAAAATCTTGCGCTTTCATCAGTGAATTACGAAAAGCAATTGAAAAATCATTAAACAAGTTAAATCGAAATCATTTTCTTCAAGTTGTGCAATTACTTTTATTTCTTTCATTTTATGTTTTTTTATTTTTTTTTTTGCGCTGTTGTTTGCATTTGGAGTGTAATTATTGTGTAAGTTGTACAAGTTGCAAAAGAAAATTCAATTAAATTACGTACGCTTTTTCTCTAAGCTGCATTCCACATAATTGAAAAAAAAATCGCAAGAATATGTAAGATCAATTAATGGTTATATCTAAAACGGTTTGATTTGAATATGTACTGCGCAGAGACTCGATTGTTATGTTGATTATCGTATTGCTTTACTGTTTAATAATATCGAGAACCATTAAAACTAATCGATATTTCTTACACCCAACTTCGTCTCACATCACAATAAATGCTCAAAACTAAAATGTCGCTATTCGACGGCTTGCCTTAAATGTCGTTTTTGAGTGTTGTAAGACTCATCAGTTGAGTGTTGTAATGTGCCGCAGCTAGTGCTGCGAATCGAAACAAATAACAATAATGTGCACATACGCAAAAAGAAGATGACAATTAATTTTTGCGAGCTAAAATTTTTTGAATTGGCATATGATTAATATTAATACTCAATAAATTAGTATTTAAAGTGTTGTAAAGCGCGACAATCATCAAATGAATGCAGCTTGAACCCTAGCTAGTCGTTCAAGTAATATTTTGTTGTTGCTTTGCTAAAGTTTATCCTCCAAGTTTATCTGAAAGTGATCTGCGGCTTTTTAAGCTCGAAGCCACAAAATCCCGCTGCTGAACTCCTTTTGGCTCTCAATGTATTTGGCGCATCATTCAAATCGCAATTTCAAATGTCGTCGTTTGGCACTTGAAAAGCTCACAAAATTTGTCGTGAGTGACTTTCAAGTTTGCTTGAGGGCGGCGAAGACAAAACGAATGAAGTAAAATTTGTAGTAAAATTTGAAAAGCTTCATACTATAGCTATCGATATTTATTTATTGTTGTTACGGACGGCGGGTGGGCTGGCAAAGAGGACGGGGGAAGTAAAAAGGCCACAAATGCGAATGCTGGGCAATATACCATATTTTTTGTTTTCTGTGAGAGTTTGGCATGACTTTTTGGGCGAAAAATCGAATCGATTAGTCATGCCAAGTCCTCAGACTTGAGAGTTTTGTTGGTCTCTCGGCCTCACCTCTCACATTTTAGTTGAGTTGAGTTGTGTGTGTGTGTGTTTTTTTCAGTTTTTGTTCAGTTTTGGGGTTCATTTTGTGTTTGGCTTTTTTGTTTAAGAGCGAATGACTTGTCAGTGGCGTTCGAAAAGACGAATATCGGCATTCAACAGAGACAGAGCAATTTATGTGGCATTTTCCAAGCGATTTCGTTGGCCCATTTATTAAATTTTGACAGCTTTTAAGTGAGGGGCAGCAAAGGAAAAAAAAACACACAGAAACAAATATGAATGGAAAGCGTCAAATATAGCAAATGCTTCCAACTTTTGCTTTCTTTTTGCGGCGCTAATTCAATCCAAAGAAATGTAAACAGAATCAATTACAGCAAATTATAGAAAAATGAATAAAGATGAAAATAAATGAAAAGTGTAAACGAAAACCCAAAACAACTGTTGGCAGTGGGAGGAACAACTCGAAAAACACATATATTTCATGTTTACGACCCAAAAGTAACGCCAGAGGCCACTCGAAACGCGGCCCGAGAATCGGAATAGGAATCGGAATCCGAATCCGAATCAGAAACAGAAACTGAGCGCGAGCTCGAACTCGACGACAGAGGCCGCCGGCTCGAAAAAAAAACGTGACTTTTCATAACAAAAAAAAATAAAGCACAAAAAAACAAACAACAATGCGGAATATCTCGCGCTTGAATCTCGCAAAAAGAGCGCAAAAATAAACAAATACAAATAAATAAAAATAAAAAAGGTGGGGAAAACGAGTGCGTAGACTGGGCCTTGCCCGGCATTACTTAGAGGTATACAAATAGACGAATTTGCATTAAATTTAAGCATGTTTTTTAATTGAGCGTGTGTGCGTGTGTGTGGGTGTGTGCGTGTGTGTGGCCAACTTAAAATTCAGCTCAGTTTGTAGAGCGCTTCACAAGCCAAGTTTATGGACTTAAATAGAACTTGCAGTGGCCAAATGATTAATTAATAATAAAGTTCGTAAACATCGAAAGATGACTTCATAGAACTACATTTATTTCTTTATATTTCAGCATACACACATATTAATTGTGGTTTACGTAACACCATAAATCTATATATGTATGGATACTCTTCTTTTTTTTTTTTTTTGCTGATAAACTACATTTTAATGGCTCGCACAGTTCATTAGCCCCCGCCAAAGACGGAATCGCTGCGGGCCATTTGTGTGTTTGTAAGAAATTATTGCCTTATGGGTAAAAATTAAATCAAACGATTTACAAACTAAGACCACAATAAGAATTTCAAAATGTAGGATGACACCTCCAAGCACATTAAAGGGAAATACATATATACACATTAATTGCTGGAAATATGTGACTTAAGAAAGAAGCCAAGTCAAAGAAGATATCGGTTTAGTTTGACCAAATAATCGAATTGAATGATTTTTCCCTTTTGCTGTCCAAAAAACAACTAAATTCACATTAACAATATGTTATAGAAGAAAATGATGTATACCATCTATAGATACATTACATTCAAAATGAAAGGTAATTAGTCTGTATGTACTTTTCTAGAAGCTATATGTGTGTCCAATTTCGTGTCTCTAGCTTTAAGACTAAGAGATTCGCTCAAAAATCAGGATTGCAATATCGATTCTTATCGATTGCTTGGAAACGGGACAAGTTATCGATAAAGAAACTGAGAAACATACAGAAAAAAATATCTAAACTTTTTCATACTTTTCATTAAAAACATGTCATATGTCATATTTTTATATATTTCCTAGAGTTGATGTAGCTCGAAGAAAGTTTTTACTTTAGGCTTAAAAAACCCCAATTGTGTCCTTTTGCAGAGATTTTCGGGCTGTAACATTTTACAGTCAAATTTAGTTTAGATAGTCTTGGGTTCGATTTTTTACCCGTTCATGAACTATTTTTAAAAAGTGCGGAGAAAGATTGAAGCCAAAAAACTTGGACTGTTTGCACGTAGAGTTTTTACTGTACCTGAGCAAAATTTGATTTCACAATTCAATTTAAGCACATTTTGAACAGAATATTGTTTAACAACCCGATGCAAAGCTCAAATAGAAACTAATTAAAATGGAGATAAATAAAAATATGTCTGGGCTAAACTTTGGGTCTGAGTTAATAGTAACGGGAAACTTATAGATATAGGTATGCAAGTTATATACGTAAGTTATGGCTAGATAAACACCTTGTGCTGCAGATGATGATGCGATGCGATGCGATGCGATTCTCTCTCTCTCTCTCTCTCTCTCTCTCTCTCTCTCTCTCTCTCTCTTTCTGGCCTGTCGCAGTTGTGGCTGAGTGTGTTTGGTTTTGTTTTTTTCTTGTTGTTTGTTGTTTGTTGTTGCACACAAAACTCACGCGTTGTTATTATAATTTTTGAGCTTATTTTGCACGCGGACAGCAGCCTGGAGGGGGAGAGCGCGAAGCAGCGGGGCAGAGAGAGGGCGACAGCAGAAGAAACGCGTTTTTGGGCTTTTTTTTCTTTCTCTTTATATTATTTTTCTTGCTTGCGGTTTTGCTGACTTTGCAGTTGTTGTTGTTGCTTTCGTTGTTGCTGCTGTTACTGCGCTGGCTGACGTGACGTCATTAAAATGCCGGCATGAAGCGCTGCGCAAAGCTTGAGACACAATTTTGTAAGACACGGCAAGACACTCGAACTATTCGTTTTCTTTCTCTTCCACTGACACTAAAGACAAACTGAAGCGAGACACACGCACGGAGCGAGAGCGAGAGGCACACGCACACACGCACACACACGTGAGATGTCAAAAATTGACAGGCAGCAACAACAAGACGGAGAAAAAGTCGCGCTGCTTTGCTTTGTTGTTGATAAAAACACACACACGCACACACGCACAAAATTCTATTATTTTGTTGACAGCTGTTTGTTGTTGTTGTTGCTGCTGTTGCTGTTGAAACGCGCGCGATTTTTAGAAAATGTTGCTGTGCTGCTTCTTGAATTGGTTATTAATGTTGCATAATTTAATGCATATATTCCTAACTGTTTTTTATTTTCTTCCTTTTTCTAATTGCGTTGTTGTTTCGTTTTACGTATATTACTCAACACTTGTTTTGTTTGTTTCTTTATTTTTTTTTAATACTACGGGCAAGGCAACTCTGCACGATTTATAAACTTCACACTATTTATTGAATTTGCTGTATTTATTAGAAAATTTCTGCTCGCGTATATTTATTTTGAATAGGTTGTGAAAGCGTTTGTTGTTGCTGCGTTTAGCTCTCATACACAGAAATTCTAAAAATTTATCAACAATATGCGCACACACGTCCGCCTTGCTCGGTGTTGTTTTTGCTTCTGTTCGAGCGCTGTTATGGCGCTGTTATGCACCAAAAATTCCAATCGGCAGCCGAAGCAGCCACTGCGCCAGCCGCTCTTTTGCGCTCTCACGTTCTCTGCACGGTCTTGCTGTTGTTGCTGCTGCTGCTGCTGCTGTTCGGTCTGCAGCGAGTCCAGTGGCAGCGGCTGTTGCTCTTATTGGTTTATTTAGCTGGAGTGCGAGCAAGCGAGCGAGAGAGCGAGAGCGAAACTGTTAAGTGAAGAGCGCGCCAGTGTTGAGCGTTTACATTGCGCTCACTATATTGGAGTGACTCTTGCAAGGGATTGAGTGTCTTTATATGGGGTTAAAAGCAGCTGACTTAACAGCTAGCTAAGGGTTAAGTAGCCAAAAGTGACCCGAAGGAGCTGTGGGCAAAGCCAAAGGCTTCAATCGAGTTCGTGTTGAGACTCCGCTGCAAAACTACTCAAAAGTGCATGGAGTACTTAATTTGAACCGTTAATATATTAAGCAGCAAATTGATTTACCTTTTTTCTAGCTACGAATTTTAAAGGACCTTAAAGTCACCTTCAAATCGGTTCAATATTTCAATTTGGTCTCGAGAAATGCACATTAAAATCAACTCATATAGTTTTCTGTATTTATAGCCATGCAATGTTTCAGTTTGACATTTCGATGGGTGCCCAAAAATAGCCCAAAATACAACAACAACAAAAATGATGAAAGTACCGTTCATTTCGGACATTTTAGTGCATACAAATTTTGACATTTCTATGTCATAAATTTCACACACACACACATACACACCCCCACATAGAAAAAGCCATAGAACGAGATGCCATAAAAAGATATAAACATAAATGTACTTATTTATGTATTATAAAAAGTGAATGTAAATTGATTAGAAAACCAATAACAACAAGAACAACAAGAACCCCAACAGCTGCTGTAAGCTAACAGAACAAGCACAACTAACAACAACAACAACAACAGCAGCGAAACGTGAAAGCAAACATGGAAGAAAAGACTTGAAGAGAGCGCCAGCCACTTCAAGTGAGAGCGAGATCAGAACGCCCCCGCAGTGCCCATTTAACACGGGCGCTGCTGTTGTTGTTTTTAATAGCATTAGAAGTTTCTTGTGCATGTGTGTGTGTGTGTGAGAGTGCTATTTATAAAATGTTTTCGATATGGAAGTTTGCTGTAGTCAAAGTCAATGCGGCCGACCACATGGAAGCTGGAACGGCTGCTGCTCGAGGGCAAGTGAAAGGTTGCGCTTTTGTTTTTTTTTTTTGTCTTTTGCTGTTGTTGCTGTTTTCTAAGAAGCAAAGCTCGTATGCAGCTTGGCTGCACACATACAACCACACTTTCACGCACACACACACACACATGCGCTGAGCCACCTCTGCACTCATTCATTATGCAAAAGCAAAGCCGAAGAAAAAGAAAAAGAAAAGAGCAGACGATTTTTACTTATCCCACTTTTGCAGTTGGGCACATGCCAACACACACACACTCGCACACACACACGTACACATAAACTGGAGTACGGCGAAGCGAATAAAAAGTTTTCAATGCAAACAGACAGTCACACACACACACACACACTCGTATACACACAAGCGCTCGCGCTCACCTATGGGAAGCTGCTTGGCCAGGCAGCAAAGAGTACGAAATCGAAATCGAGATCGTTTTTTTTTCGGTTAGAAACAACCGAAAATTGTTGAGAGATGTTTCAGGTATAACTGGCTATTAACTGGTTTGTTTGGGAAAAATGTCATTTAGTACATTTTGAGCTGTGAACACATTTTACAGTTATTGTGATAAATATAAAAAAAAAACAAACATGTTTCGTAGATTAAAATTTGCGGTTTTTTCAATTTGAGTAGAAAACTTTGAAGGTTTCATGCACATAAGTTGCTTGTATTTAAATTGAATATATTTATAGATCCTCCTCCAGTATATTTATAGTTATATGGCACTTCTAAATGCTAAATTTTGCATGCATATTGAACGTCTTTTTCCCAATAAAAACAGAGGCTAAAAAAATATAATTTTATGTATAAAGTGCAAATAGAGATACTATACTATACTATACTATATTTTAGGGGAATTCCCTAGACAGATTTTTTGTTACTCATAAGTAAAAATGCACCCAAGGCACTTGACAAGATCATTAACAACACATTTGTCGGTTGGTCGCTGCGGTTCGTGCGTTGCGTTGTGGGTTGCTCAGGGGGTCAGTTGTAGATACAGATACAAAAATATACACAGACTCCGCACACACTTCACAAAAAACACGACTTGAGCTGTGGGCAAAGATGGAGACGGAGACGAGGACTGGAAAACCGGTTTCAGGCAAAATCAAAAGTTGCGCAGACGCAGACGCCGACGCCGACGTCGCAGCCGGAGCCGCAGCTGACCGAACTGAAGTTCGCTATTGGAATTGAAAGCAGCGCACAGGCAGATCTATATGTATGCTGCCAGAGCGGGAGCGGTGGGGGGAGTGCGAGCAGGAGCACAAAAGCAAAGTTTAAGTTTCGCCCGCCGATCGCTGGATGCTGTGGAAGCTGTGGAAGCACAGAAGTAAATCACGCAAATGCTGACCGGCAGCCACTGGAACTCGTTTTGTGCTGCACCTTTTGTGCCTGTTCCAAGAACGTGTTCAAGGCTTTGCCAGGGTGTGTCTGTCCGCGCTTGTGTGTGTGTGAGTGTGCGACCGAAAAAGGAAAAGGAGGTCGCTAAGGTAGCGCAAAAAGACGGGCGCACAGGGATTGGTGCGTTAACAGAAGCAAGAGAGAGCGCATAAGAGAGAGAGAGTTAGCGCACAATAGGTAACGCCTCTATAATTCTAATTATTTTCTAACGGCAAAACGACTCCCGCTGCTAATGTGATTCAAATAAGAATGAATCTTCATTAGGTGACGTCTCACACGCGAAGCCAAAGAGACCGGCGAACTGTGCGCCTGCATATCAATTTAGTAACTAGATATAAAGCAAAAGCCGCAGCAAACCAGTTAAGAGAGAGACAGACAGACGTACAACGAGAGAGAGAGAGAGAGAGAGAAGAATGAGCCCCACAAAAAAATGAATAACAGAACCAGACGAGACGCTGATGACGTCGTCCTCGTTGATTATATGCATGCACACACACACACACACACGAGTAGTTTGTATAGTATGTATTGCAATGTGTGAGTCAGCTTCCAGACGCCGCAAGATTACAGTTAACAGCTAGACAGGCATGCGCTCTTCCGCTCTCGGTCTGACGATCTTACACTGTTTCTCTCTCTCCCTCTCTGTATCTGTTAAAGCTGTGGCACCTACGCACATGTGCGCCAGTTCGACTCGAGACTCTCATTGGCTTTGTTCCGCGCCCCCTTTCGGCATAGATCGCTGAACAACAATAACTCAGCGTTGCGCTCTCAACGGCCATTGAGCGCAATTTGTGTTGCTCTTGAGTAGTTTGCGCTCGCTCAATATTTCAAGTTCTCTTTGCAAGTGCGTGCGCCATCTGAATGTATTAAGTGCTCCCAGTTTTATGTGAGTGAGTTTTAGCTCAGCTGAGTAAAAGATTTCATTTTGTATTTTGTTCTGAACAGGAATTTTACAGTCGCGCATTGCATACTTTGTGGTGCTGGAGAAGGGTATTGGGAATACTTTTATTCATTATGAATGTAAGTTGTAACATGTACATTTAATTTAATTAAGCAGACTGATAAATATAAAAAATGGAGTTCTTTCTTAAAATTGAATGCTGTAATTTAAAAAAAAAATATGGGCATACTTTCTGATATAAGACATCCGTTCACATACTGTCAAAGTGAGTTTAACATCGAACCTTTAACAGAGTGCTGTTAACTTATTTGCCTAACCTATAAATCCTTACCCAAATTAAATGAACTCATAGAAAGAAGCCAATCTATGCTGTTGGCTTTTATTTTATGTAATAGCTCTATAAAGGAAGATATATTTCTTAAAGAGTTTTAATCTAAAATGTTAAAAGTGAGCGCCGCTAATAAGTGGTTTTAAATTGCAGGAATTTCAAAAATTACTATTAAATTGTTTAAACTATATTTTGGTTTTGAGTAACATGGTTCGTTGGGATTCTCAAAGTTATCTTCGAGTCAATCGGTATCCATTTCGATTCAAGTAGATTTTTCATTAGTTTTCCCTTTGCCCATTCCAAAAACTGATTTCAATTATAGCCAATTAAGCGAGAAAGGACTCAAGCGAGGAGGAAAACAAATCAACTGCACTTACATTGCAACATTAACGCAAGCCAAAGCAGATGCTTCCAGCTGCAGACAATCAATACCCTTTCCCGCAGCCCCAACCCCTGCGCCCTCCCTCTAACCCACACACCGTGTTGGCCCCTTGTTTGCACCTTGACTGCGTTTTTTTGGTTGCCCGCCGGCAGCTCCGGCAAAGGATAAAAACTTTATCCACTTTCGGCGGCTTCTGCCCCTTTCCTTTTCCCTCCCCCCCGGCGCATTTCTGTGCGCCAAATGTTAAAACAAACAAACAAATAAATTAGTGTTCAATCAGCGTAATTTCTTTAACTGCCACGCCCACTCCGAATGCATCTGCCGTCGCAACGCCCTCGGCAAGTGCTTAGCTGCTTTTGTCTCCCATTCTGGGCTGATGTGCGATTTTGTTGCTTTTAACTTGGCTCAATTGCAGCTGTGCAGCACGGCGAGGGGCTGTGTGCCTCGAAGGGGAGCGGGTAAGCGATTGACTATCCAAACTTTCCACCCACTGTGCAGCACTTGGTTGTAAGTAATTAAGACTAAAGGAAGCGGAAGAACAAGACAGACAAGACAGACAAAAGCTGCCTGCAAAACAGGCGAAATTTTCGCTAATTTGGTTAATTTGAATTCGAATGCAGTTTGCCAAGAAGGTGAGTGCAAGGGGCGGCAGAAGGTGAGAGGGGGTATTGGTATGAAAGGGCGGTAACTAGCCTGGTTAAAGGTGAATTGTTCTCGAGCCCGATAGAAATGTGCCCAACTTTTAATTGTCTCTACTCGCGAGAGTGCATTTGGAGGATTTGAAAAGCTAAATCTGAAAAGTTTTTATGTGGTAATCGGATATCGATAATTATCGAAAAAGCAAATTTTGGATTATTTACCAAGAGTTAAAATATTAGAATGTTAAAAAGAAAAATGCAATTAGCGTCTGTTTGCGATTGAAGATTGATTGATTGATTAATTGATTGATTGATTGATACTATCGGAGTAATATTAAAATCAAAAACTATCGTAAGTAGTGTTGCACAACTTTTTACAGGACTTTCACTAATCAGT